ATTAACTCCTATATTACACCTAATAAACTTAGTTATGAATATTTATGGCTTGAAACAATATATAAAAAGCAAATTTACAAGTTTTAGGTTAAGTATTTATGGTTCAAAATGGGCAAAATGACTTCTAACTTGCCCATTTTTCATGATTTTAGCTCAATGCTTGAATTAACTCTTATATTACACCTAATAAACTTAGTAATGAGTATTTATGGCTTGAAAGAATGTAAAAAAAGCAAATTTACAAGTTTTAGGTTCATTTAGAGTATTTATGGTTCAAAATGGGCAAAATGACTTCTAACTTGCCCATTTTTCATGATTTTAGCTCAATGCTTGAATTAACTCCTATATTACACCTAAGAAACTTAGTTATGAATATTTATGGCTTGAAACAATATAAAAAAAAGCAAATTTACAAGTTTTAGGTTCATTTAGAGTATTTATGGTTCAAAATGGCCTAAATGAGTTCTAACTTGCCCATTTTTCATGATTTTAGCTCAATGGTTGAATTAACAGCTATAATACACATAAGATATTTAGTTATGAATATTTATATGAAGTATCTTCCTAATTGGTGCAAGAAGAGACCCGTTGTGAACTTCTTCACCCGGGCGAATCATATGATGGACCTTTGAATGTTGTTGCCTATGGTAGTGCACAACCGGCCGAACAAGGTACGGTCCATCTTCGACCTCTTCTGCCTGAGCATTATTCTGTCGGGATCCATTCTGCGGTTCCCGGGTTCGAGGACATCTTAATACCTGTGCCCGTGGAGGAGGATGAGTTCACTACACTCTGGGCAGCAAAAGGTAGTTTTGTGCAATGGCCATCTGCTTGGATACGGTTGATGAACCAGGTAATTAAGATTTAGATTTCACGCTTTAATCTTTTCTTCCCAAGAGTTGGATGGAAATCTTTTCTAACCATTTGTGTGATTTGTCTTATTAGCCATCGAGGAAAAGCCAAACTCCAAAGAAGAGGGTGGAGGGGCCAAAGAAGAGGAGTGAACATGGCTCGGTGAGTGGAAAAGCGTCGATGAAGAGCCCTTCACGAGGTTCAGCTACGCAAGCTACTCCATTAGTTGAAGACACAGTGCTTCAAAATCGTTACCTCAAGAGTTAGCTTATTTGCACAACCGTGTTTGCGTGTTGCCTAATGACAGCCCCATCCAAATTTAACTTCCTAAGGAAATGTTCCACTACGATGATGATGCAACGACATGACTATTCAAAGAAGATGTGAAGGAATTTCTAAGTGGTGCAATGCTTAACATTTCCCTCATTCAAATATCCATGAGGTAATTCAACTGGTACTCAATTTATGTTATTCAGTTTAGTGGTGTTTGTCGTTTGGTTTTCGATTAACATTTTGTTATCATGCATGCAGAGCACTCCTAGAGAAAATATGGGAGCTTGAATCTCCTTGTCAAGTTGGGTGGTTGTGCCCTAAGCAAATGTCCACTGCTAGAATCTTAGGCAACTCCGCTGAGGTGTTGTACTATGCTGAACGGGGTATCAGGCAATCAGTGAGTGCGGGAGACAAGTTTATATTCGTCCCATATTATGAGGAGTACGTCTGATTATGCTAGTCAAGTTCATTTGTTTTCCTAGTTTATTTGTTGTAATAGGCTAACTATTGATTTGTTTGTCTCGTGTGTAGTTATCATTGGACCCTACTTGTGATTTGTGTTTCCAGTAACACAATCTTCTACTTTGATTCTGCTCGGTTACCTCAAGTAAGAAAGCGCCTCGTGAGGTCCATACTGCAAAAGTAAGTATCTAGTTTGTTTCACTTCTTGTTATTCATTTTCATATCTTAACTCATATGTATTGATTATACTAGTCAAATTTGAACTTATTACTTTGATTTTTTGTAGTACCATGAAGAAGATAAATCCTCGATCTCCTCGAGGTCCTACATGGAAAGCACCCAAGGTAATTCACCCATGATGTTGTGATTTTTTTACTTTACAATGCTTAAGATGTTGCTTATTTGCTATGCATTTTGATTCATGTGCTTTGTTCCTCGTGCTAGTGCGCACAACAGGAAAACGGAGTTGACTGTGGCCTATACGTGATGAGATTCATGTATGACATAGTGATGAGTCATTGTATAGACACACGTCAGCTTGAAGAGGTATGCCATTTTGGTTGAAATTGCGTCCCAAAACCTCTTACTTGCTCTTTTCTTGTAATGTCAAGCACTAGGCACCCATAACTAAGTGATTATGACATGTTTTAACTAGTTATGAGTTCAATAGACAAGAAATATAGAAAAAAGGCATCCTAGTAGCCAAAATGGCCTTACTTGTTTTAGTTGAAATTGCGTCCCAAAACCTCTTACTTGCTCTTTTCTTGTAATTTCAAGTTAGGCACCTATAACTAAGTGATTATGACATGTTTTAACTAGTTATGAGTTCAATAGACAAGAAATATAGAAAAAAGGCATCCTAGTAGCCAAAATGGCCTTACTTGAGCCATATTGGTTGAAATTGCGTCCCAAAACCACTTACTTGCTATTTTCTTGTAATCCCAAGCATTAGGAACCTATAAATAAGTGATTATGACATGTTTTAACTAGTTATGAGTTCAATAGACAAGAAATATAGAAAAAAGGCATCCTAGTAGCCAAAGTGGCCTTACTTGAGCCATTTTGGTTGAAATTGCGTCCCAAAACCACTTACGTGCTATTTTCTTGTAATCTCAAGCATTAGGCACCTATAACTAAGTTATTATGACATGTTTTAACTAGTTATGAGTTCAATAGACAAGAAATATAGAAAAAAGGCATCCTAGTAGCCAAAATGGCCTTACTTGAGCCATTTTGGTTGAAATTGCGTCCCAAAACCTCTTACTTGCTCTTTTCTTGTAATCTCAAGCATTAGGCACCTATAACTAAGTGATTATGACATATTTTAACTAGTTATGAGTTCAATAGACAAGAAATATAGAAAAAAGGCATCCTAGTAGCCAAAATGGCCTTACTTGAGCCATTTTGGTTGAAATTGCGTCCCAAAACCACTTACTTGCTATTTTCTTGTAATCTCAAGCATTAGGAACCTATAACTAAGTGATTATGACATGTTTTAACTAGTTATGAGTTCAATAGACAAGAAATATAGAAAAAAGGCATCCTAGTAGCCAAAATGGCCTTACTTGAGCCATTTTGGTTGAAATTGCGTCCTAAAACCTCTTACTTGCTCTTTTCTTGTAATCTCAAGAATTAGTCACCTATAACTAAGTGTTAATGACATGTTTTAATTAGTTATGAGTTTGATAGACAAGAATTATAGAAAATAGGCATCTTAGAAGCCAAAATGGCCTTACTTGGGCTATATTGATCGAAAATGCGACCTAAACCCTCATATTGCTATTTTCTTGTAATTTCATTCCTTAGTCACATATAACTAATTAATAATGTCATGTTATTATTATGAGTAAGCTAAGTATGAGTTCACTTACATTTTGTGTATTATTCCAAGTTTTGTTCGGGTCATTCCTACTAACTAACCCCAATTATTATTAATTCACTTCTACTAACTCACGTTTTGTGTATTCTAAGTTTTGCAAGGGGCAAATGGGACAGCCATACACGAGCGAGGAACTCCATGTAACTCGAGAGATGTTGGCGACCTACATCACATTTAATTTGTAAATATCGTTTACTAGCTAGCTACTTCATCAATCCTAGCCTTAGCTTACTAATTATGTACTATACATTATTATAACTAATTAAAATTGTTTGTAGGTAACATGAAACATTTTTCTAATTAATATCATCTCTTGCGATTGTTATTATTATTTATGTTTTGTTTTCAATATAATACTAATTATTGTTACTATTATCATAATAATTATTATTATTACTATTATAATATTAATAATAATAATTATTATTAATATTATAATAATAATAATTATTATTATTAATATTAATATTATAATAATATTAATTATTATTATTAATATTAATATAATAATATTAATAATATTGCAGAAAAAAAAATACAGGTTAATGGCAACGGTTAACCGTTGCCAATTGCTTGAGTTGGCAACGGTTTTGAACCATTGCCAATTAATTTGGGATTTGGCAACCCTCAAATACGCAACGGTTCAAAACCGTTGCCTTTGGGGGGGTTTGAACTGTTGCCAATTTGCTCTTTTCGTGTAGTGTAGTGCTTTTAATTACTTGATTTAGAAAAATAGTTTGTTTGTCTACTTGGCGAACCCCCAATCAACAAAAGTCTTCGAACTAGCTTGCGTATTAAGATCTTTAGCGATTATATATATCCCGTTCCTTGTGGACCGAACTCTTGCTTATCATTATGCTTGGTTTGTGAGATGTTTGCTTATAAATGTGTTTGACTTAGCCTAGATTGTGCGACCGATTTAGCGCTTGTCAGCGGGTTAAGAAGAAGACCCGCTCTGACGGGTAGGGATGGGTCTCTGTTTAGTGGGTGGGGAAGCGGGGATCAATAGTTATTACGTGTAACATGGTGCACCTATTTTTAAATGCACCACTATAATTTGAACATTTAATAAAAAATAATTAAAAAAAAAACTGAACATTTAGTACCTTCTACAATTGCTATAAAAAAGAAAATAAGACATAAGGAGAAAGATTTACTGGCTGCACAAGGGGGTCGGGTGGATGTGAGAATGCTGAAGAGGTGTGATGAGTTAGCAGGGGAAGTCCATGAGCTCAGGAGATTGGAGGAGTCCTATTGGTTCGCAAGGGCAAGAGCAAATGAGCTGAAAGACGGAGACAAGAATACTGCATATTTCCATAATAAGGCAAACCAGCGAAGAAGGAAAAATTGAATTGATGGTTTGTTTGACAATAATGGAGTATGGAATGTTGAGGAGACGACAATTAAGGAAATCATCGCAGAGTACTTTAATGGTCTTTTCACTACGGAGAACCCTGCGGATATGGATGCTGCACTTGATGGCTTGGAGATGAAAATAACTAGCGAGATTAACTAGTCCTTAGATGCTATTCCTATGGCTGAGGAGATATCAAATGCCCTGTTTCAAATGCACCATAATAAAGCTCCTGGTACAGATGGTATGCATGCTCTTTTCTTTCAAAAATTCTGGCATATAATTGGTCCTGATATTATTACATATGTGCAAAACTGGTGGAATGGCATTTGGGATTTAAAGGAGATTAACAGGACTTGTGTCGTTCTAATTCCTAAATGTAATGATCCTAAGTACATGAAGGATTTTAGGCCGATCAGTTGTTGCAATGTTCTGTATAAAATAATCTCTAAAACTCTGGCTAACAGATTAAAGCCCTTTCTAGATGATATTATTTCTGTTAATCAGAGTGCATTCATTCCGGGCCGATTAATTACTGATAATGCAATGGTTGCTTTTGAGATATTCCATGCTATGAAGAGAGGTGGTGATGGGAGGTCTGGGTTGATAGCTCTGAAGTTGGATATGAGTAAGGCATATGACAGGGTAGAATGGGGTTTCTTGGAAATGGTGATGTGTAAGCTGGGATTTTCTGAATAGTGGATCAAACGCATTTTACAGTGCTTATCCAGTGTATCTTTCTCTTTTAAGGTGAATAATGAGATATGTGGCTCGATAATCCCCTCTAGAGGCCTGCGTCAGGGTGATCCTATTTCCCCATATTTATTCCTCCTATGTGCTGATACTTTTTCTGGTTTACTATCAAAAGCTGCAAATGACAAACTCATACAGGGGGCTAAAATCTGTAAATCGGCTCCGAGGATTTCACATTTATTTTTTGCAGACGACAACATTTTGTTTGCAAAGGCAACTCCTAATGAATGCTCTAAGATAGCTGAAATAATCAGTGTGTATGAAAGAGCATCCGGTCAGAAAGTTAATTTAGATAAAACGGAGATTGCGTTCATTAGAGGTGTTCCCCCGGAGAGACGGGCTACTATTGTTAGCACATTGGGGGCAGGGAGGTTGATAAGCATGAGAGGTACCTTGGATTGCCTACCGTTATTGGCAAATCCAAAAAAGCCATATTTGCCGGGTTGAAAGAGAGGATATGGAAAAAATTAAATGGGTGGAAAGAGTTGTTTCTTTCGAGGCCGGGGAAAGAAATTCTAATTAAAGCCGTGGCCCAAGCGATACCCACGTACATGATGAGTATGTTTCATATCCCGGATGGTTTAATCGATGAAATACAGACCATCCTATATAGATTCTGGTGGGGTACGACGGTTGATAAAAGGAAGCTCCACTGGCAGTCGTGGGATGCTATGTGTCGTCCAAAGGCTCTTGGGGGCCTAGGCTTTAGAGATTTGAAATGTTTCAACCTCTCGCTTCTTGCTAAACAGATATGGAGGCTGCAATCAAATCCGAATACTCTGTTGTACAAGGTACTACAGGCTCGCTATTTCAAAAACTCGAGTGTATTTGAAGGCCAACAGAAGGCACGACCCCAGCTACATTTGGCGAAGCATTTGGGGAGCTAAGGGGTTGTTCAGAGACGGTCTGGCGTGGAAAATTGGCAACGGTCGTGACATTAATATCTGGACTGACATTTGGCTAGTCAATAATAGGCAGCCTATTCACCTCCAAAGACCTCCGGAGTTTGATGAAGAGATGAAGGTTCGTGAATTGTTGACAGAGGATGGGCGTATGTGGGATGAAATGAAGGTTCGGCAGGTGCTTGGTGAGGAGTTATGTAGCCAGGTTCTTTCTCTTCCTCTCCCAATTCATGCGACAAGAGATACAACTTTCTGGATGCAATCAAAGAATGGTGTATTCTCTGTCAAATCATGCTATTATCTGGCCAGGAAAGGAGCGATAGAGGCTATTGATACAAACAGCCTACACAAACTATGGTGTTTAATCTGGAACTACAAAGGTCCACCGAAACTTAAACACTTCCTGTGGAATGCGGCGAAAGGTAATCTAGCGGTAAAGAGCCGGCTAATGCAACGTCACATTGTTGGTGACAGTAAGTGCCTAATCTGCGAGAATGAGGATGAAACTATCATACATGCTTTGTTTGAATGTACCATGGCTAAAGAAATATGGCTACATAGTCAATACAGGGGGGTAGTAGACGAGGCGCCTGCAGAATCTTTTGCATGTAGATGGGTTTGGCTTGACCAGAAGGTGCAGGGTGATGGTATTTACCAAATAGCAGCTCTTATATGGGCTGCTTGGCGCTGCAGAAACCTGCTTCTATTTGAAGGAGTTCGCAGCAGCCCGACAGTGTTGGCTGGGAATCTCTGCAAATGGGTGGCTGATTACGGTACTTATGCAAAGTGCGTCTTTAATCCTCACAAAAGGGTGGGAATTAAAGCAACAGTGAGTGGCTTCCTCCCCCAAGAGGTGTACTTAAACTGAATGTTGATGCGCATGTAGGTAGTGCTGGGAAAGCAGCTGTGGGTGTTGTGGGCAGGAATGAGGAAGGAACTATTGTGTTGACTGCTACTCAATCCATTTTCCAGCAGTCCCCAGAGATTTCTGAAGCCGTTGTTGTTAGATATGGGATGATCATTGCCAGAAGATTCGGCTTCGAAAATATATGGATCGAGTCGGATTCCCTCAATGTGATTTCTTGCATCTCGTCTAATTCGAAGGGCTATGCCCCAATCTTTAATGTTTTTGATGATATTAGGATGTGTAGAGCTGGATTTAATAGTTGTATTTTCTCTCACGCTAAGCGTAGTTGCAACACTGTTGCTCACCTTATTGTTAGGGACTTTACAGGGGATCATTCAGAGCTCATACGCTTTGAGTCTTTTCCCCAAAGCATTGTATCTTTAGCGGAGATGGATTTACCAAATTAATAAAATTGCTCTAACATACCTTTCAAAAAAAAAGTACCTTCTACAATTGCAAATGTGGCAGTATGACCCCCTAACTTAGATTCATAGTGTAATTAACCCCCTTAACTTTACAATGTGACATTTAAACCCCATTAGGTTTTAAATACGTGAAATTAAATACAAATTCAATTTTCCGGCCAAATTATCACCGAAAAATAATGACATGGTGTAATCCCCCATATTTTCTTAGTAAATAATTATATATATTTTTATGTATATGACTATATTAATAATTTTATATTTATACAATAATTTTATATTTATGCAAAAATATTTTTGGGAAGATTTCACAAAATAAAAACAAGAATTTTTAAACCCATACTTCCATTTCAATTAAGTAAACTTACCCCTTGTCTCTCCTCATTCACATTTACAATTAAGGAAACTTGCTCCTTATTTCCCCTTCTCAAAACCCTCGTATATTGCCTTCTACTGCTTCCCCTTATTACTCCCTTTCCCTTGCTCCCTCCTCCTCCTTTCACGACTCACAAACAAAAAAAAAAAAAAAAAAAAAAAGTCTGCTGCTTCCTTTGTTGCGCTGCTGCTGCTGCTGCCTCAGCCGGAACCCACCACCACCGCAGTGCCGCCGGCGACCCTCGCCGCTGCCCTCAGCCCTACTGCCGCCGCCGGTTTCCTCTACTTCCCCCTCTCTTCTATTTTCCTTTCTTTTCTTGTTTAAATTACTTTAAAGCTTTATTTTTATACGAATTTCTTTATGATTTATAATTATCATGGTTTGATTATGTTATGAGTTATAAAAGATTGTAACTTTATGGATTATACTTTATTCAAATTATGGGATTAAATTTCAGATTTTATTTATGCGTTAATTGGGGTTTTAAATGTTGATTTTCATGATTTTAGGGTTTAATAACGTGTTGCTAAAGTTATTTAATTTGAGCATGATTTTGTTGTGATTTTGCTATGACTATGATGATGTTTAATTCAACAGCAAGTTCTTAATTTTTCGCTAATTTCTGAATTTCCGTTCGTAAAATTTCTTAATTACGTTTTAATCGCATTTTGACTGTAACTCGTCTGATTTTCGCAAAAAAAATAGTGTTTTTCGTGTGTAAATGATGTTCTAATCAAAACTCATTACCTATGGTAGTGAGCACCACCCTTTCGTGGCCAAATTCAGCTTCTAAATATGGTTTTCGTGCAGTTTTTTTATTTTTATCGAAGGTTTAATTGAGTTTTTATGAAACTAATTAAATTATGATTATATATTTCAAGTTTAATTGTTGTATTCATACACTTTACTATTAAATTAAATTTTCAGATTTAATCTTAGTTTAAATAGCTTTAAATCATGGTTTTATGATGAAATTTCAAGCCCTAACATACTAATGTACTATATAATGATTGTTTCAAGTGAAAATGTTTGCGAGATTGTTTTACATGCTTAAAACGAATTTTCGGATTTATAACATCACTTTAAAGTTGTTGAAAATTTTGCTATAAGCCATATTTTTGTGATTTAAGCATATAAACTCATAGTTCAAGTACTAAATTATTAACTTTGGCTATTGGGAATAATTTAAGAACATTATTTCAATGATTTAAAGGATTTTAAAATAGTTTAGTATTGCTGTAATATATGTTGCTTGGGTATTAATTGAGCTATTGTTGTTCTGTCTAGGAGAGGACTTCGTAGAGGGTGACTTCTAGCCTTAAAGTGGCCAATCAATTTGTGTACTCAAGGTACGTACAAGTATACGAAGAACCTTGACTTTAGAAGCATGTTTAAGGACTTGGAAAAGACCTAGAATCATGTTAGGAGACTTGTGGATTGGTTGAAATTGTTTGGTAATAAGTTGATTGTTGATAAATGTGATGATTGCTTTAATTCATGTATGAGAAATTGCATTGATGTTTCCTATTGAGCATTATTCATGCAATATTTTGCAAAGAGAGCTTAGAAGCAAAGCTACAAGTATATATATATGGAATGAATTGTTTTAACTACTTATTCAATTGTATTGAATTGGAATGAGTAAAGAAAGAGTTAAAGTCTGATAAGACAGGATTGTGGATTTGAGGTGCCTTATGCACTTAAGGTGTTTATACATTGAGGTAGTTAAAGGATGCAATAATACATGTTGTTTGTCACTAATAAATTAAGAATTGAATTGGAAACTTGAATGATTTGTACGATTGATGTATGATTGGTCGTGTTGATTGCATGCGAGTCATCACCTAATCTAAAATGGTAAATCACGTAAAGTGCAAGAAGGATGAGCAATAAAACTCTGGATTTGTGCACATCTAGAGTAATGACAAACATGGGTTGGGGTTCACGGGGTATTAGCCGTGCACTTTTCAGAGGCCGTCTGATCTACGAGTCTCTTGTTTTAAATTCTTTTAAAATTATAATGAGTTAGATGAGATCTCATACTAGCTATGGTCACGGAGTCGCGCCCGTCTGCCATTGGATGTTTATTAATGTTTCCGAAAGGAGGCATAGGGTTTTCTTTTATTAATGTTCCGAAACGGAGCATAGGGGGACAACCTGGTCTATTGCTTAATCCAACCAATAAATAAAATGAATTATTTATTAATTAGTGAAGTCTTAGTAATGTTAACAATTGAGTCATGTGTTCGAGTCAATGATTATATTGTGTGTGTGTGCAGATTGATTATATTGTGTGTGCAGATTGATTTTTAGTAACATGTTAGGGCTCTTAGCTATATTTCGTAGCTTGTATGTACTCAGCGTTGCTAATTGCGTGCTTTTGTGTGTCTTTTCTTGGTCATGGCTTTCGCCTTTCAATGACCCTGTAATGATCCAATTCTTACACTTGTAATATTGGGAGCAGATTAATCACAGGTTTTTGCATAAACTGAGTCGGGGTGATGGGATTTGAGTGGAGCGTTGGTTAATTACTTAGCTTATTTCATACCATAGATTGAATTTTATTTTGGTTCAAATTCTGTTTACTTCCTATTTTACTGGATTTTGAATAAGGGCCGTTACGGTTCCAACTTGTAAGACTAAATTGAGTTTTGACTTTTAGTTTTGAAACTTACATTTTCTTTTAAAACTAAATTAGTTTTCCGCTGCTGATATTTGAAACTAGCCTTAACGTTTGAACACGTGGCGGTAGCACTCCAATAATTCTTTCCCAGGTTATGTCAGATTACAGGTTATACAGGTTATGCAAGTTAATACAGGATTTTACAGGTTTTTGTAAAAAGAGAATTATTGGGGTGTTACACATGGCACGTTATGTATATCAGATTTTGATCGTTTTACTATATACACAAATAAATACAATAAAAATATGTATATTTTACAATTTCCATTCAACTCAACATTGCAGCTTGTGCCATCAAGCTTAATGATTTTTTAGACAGTGCCATCATTTCATGATCTCTGGTTTAGTAGTTGATGAGAGGAATGTAAAAGCTTTGTTCAGGCGCAAATGGAGTTAGGGGCTTTAAAGAAGGCCTATGAAGATCTCAAGAAAGCAAGGGAGATAGAGCCAATCAATACTGAATTACCCGTTTGGAATTTTTTCAATCAAGAGATTCTGAGTTTGAATTGAGCTATATCACTTTCCATTATACGGCTGTCTTTATCTCATCCAAGTATCCATGGTACAACCAATGCTATATTTTTCTCAGATGCTTATTTAAAGATCCGACTATTGAGCAAATGAACATAGAACTGCCTCGTCCTGTGACCTGTGGGCGTTATGTTCTTAATGCCCCTTTGGAATTATAAGGGTATAATTTAGAGTAATATGGGATACTTATAAATTTCATCTTACTTAACATTGGAAAATGTCTGATTATGTTTGGACTTAGTTAAATGAAGAGCTCCCTATATTTTATTGGGAGGGAAGGACGGATATGTATATAAATGATGTTGGGCTCGTTTTGGGAGCTGGGGTTTAGGGATGGCCAGATGTAGTGCTTTTATTGTATGTTGTGCCTAATGCTGTATTGTTTATATGTGACGCCTATGTTTATGCTATTACTGGGTATTAGAACATTTAGAAGTGATATTACATCATTTACATGTTTGAAGAACCTTAATTGTTATGTCTTATTCTTTTTAAATACGCTATTTAGAGTTGTTTAGTGTTTATTAATTTCTATGATAGCAAATCAGGAACATTTATATTTGTTGGGTGATTGAAGTGTCTGGGTCACCCCTTGATTTCGTTTTCATTTGCTAAGTTTTTTATCTGCACTTTGATTTTATTCTCTCTCTCTCTCTCTCTTCTTGTTTTGTAGGTTGTCGAGCTTTTATCCAACACAACAAACCTGGTGCATTTTTTTATCCATTCGATACAATGCAAAATTGTTGGTCTTTGGATTAAGAGGTTATGCCTTTCGAATTTCTGGGAAATTTGGAATAATTAGAGTATAAATAAGATTTTAAGTTTGGTTTCGTGGGGGATTGTTGGTGTTATTATCAGATGATTTTTTTGAAAGGGATAGGTAGAAATTGGACATGAAAACTTATAATGTATGAGCTTTAGGCCTTTTTCCCTATGCAAGAGATACCAAGTTAGATGATTTGTTAAAATGGACAAATTAGAAGATTATTTTTTTACTGTTATGTGTAATAGATTTTTTTTATTTTTTTTATTTTTATATCTTTGTCTTTAGCTTAAAAAGACTATGCATAAGCTATACCCATTTTATAAATTTCTTAATTTTAATACGATTTTGGTCATTGTTAATATTGCAATTCTTGGGTATATGATGGTGTTGATGAAAATAGTTGTTGGAAAATGTTGAGTGGGTTTGGATTTTGCTTTATAATCCGCTGGAATATTGTGGGGGTTGGATTTGAAGAGGCTCGATAGTGGTTGAAAAGTGAATTCCATCAGATTTGTATGTTAACCTAATGTTCCGTTCTTATGAGGTCTGATCAATTTTCACCTTTATTTGCATTAATTTGGTTAATTTTACTTGAAAGTTGATTGGAGATTCTTGGTTTTGATGATTTGGTGCAATAGCTTACCATTGGAAATAAATTGAAGTTTGAGTTGATCCTATTTTATAGATTGAATTTGTTGATATCTTAAGCTACCTAATAAGTTGATTTCTTAAGCCCTTTATTGGTGCTTTGTTGAATTTTTGTAATTTGAGTTATGATTCAATTTTTATCTTCCCTGTAGCCTCACTGCCTCAGTTGATTAATTACCAATCTGAGCTTTGGTTCATACTTCATTTTTTAATATTTTTTTGTTTTAATAGACTTTCCTCTTTGTAAACTCAAAATTTAATTTGATATGCAGGGAATTATATCCAAGGGTGGGTGCGTGGTTTCTTGAAGGTCTTGTTTCCGGTAGTAAAAAAAACTGCTGAGGACGGTCAATTGATTATCCTAGCCGCTGGAGAGAAGGTAAAAGATGAATGTTTGTCATATATATATCATCTTATAACCACATCCTATCTGCCTTATTTCCATACTTCAGATCTGTTGCATTTTGTTCTCTTGTTGCTTCCCTTCAGAGGTATACTGGTCTGAGGTGAATGGAAGAAGTAATACTTTAATAAAGAATTTGAATGAAGTATTGTGTTTTTTTTTGTGATCAATGTCACTGCAAATGGATTATGTTAATTCTCCAACCTTTTGTTAGCTGACATGCTGCCTTTTTTCAGCTGTTGCATGAATATAAGTGGCTTGAACCTTTGGAGTCAGGTTTCATTTATGATAAGCTTTGAGAGTCTAGCAGAAATATTTCAGGTAATAGTATGGTGCAGTCACACTTCCAGCCTATTGATTTGGTCTGTGTTGATTCTCTCAGGTATTGGGTATAACTTCTATGTGACTTTTCATTGTTGAATAATCTTTGGCATGTTTGTGTGATTACAACGTATACTTTGAGGCATGCTCATTTATTTATAACCAGGAATTTGGCCTTCTATAACCTTTTTGATCTATTATCGTGGTGATTGGCAATTATTGTGAATCATAAATGATTTTTAAGGTGTGTTGAGCGAAAGTTGATCATTTCTTGCCTTTTTATTAATTGGACAAAGTACTTGACCGTTTTTGCTCAATCTTGCACTTTTTGGGAGTCTAATATGCTCCTTACGTTCTTTAATTCACTCTTAAAGAGTTACACGTTAATTGTTCAGAGTTCTTCCATTTAGAGTTAAACTGAATCTTGCTTCTGCTTTTTTCAGATATTAGAAACTAGCTACACAAAATTGAGAAACATGCTTCTGATAACGTGAAAATTATTTTAATAGGAAATAAGGAACAAGGTACTGAAGAATAGGGATTTTTATCTTCTGGTCGGATGTGGGATGAGGTACTGATGTTTACTGTAAATTTGTCTCTCTTTTTTCCCTTTCTCTGCCTATCTCAATTGCTAATTTCGGTTCCCATATTTTCTCTGCTCCATCCCCCTCTCCTTCTCTCTCTTCCTCCCACCAAAACTCCCCTAACAAATTTGCAGCAGTACTCGACGAAGAAAAGCTATACATATCACAGCAATCAAGAAGATCATCGAACAAGAGTTCATCATCCCTGATATCCCTCCATTTTTCAGAGAGAAATGCTGCTGCTACTGCTGTTTTCTCTTATCTCGCTTTCTCTCTCTATAATGGGTGTTTTTGAGGGTTTTTCAAAGAATTTAGGTAAGGAATAGCACTACATATCCCGATTATTCCATGATTATTAGTATCAATTATTTCACTTAATTAATTGTTCTGATGATCCAATTTTCAGCATTTGCTCATGGGTTTTAATTTCATCGAATACCTATTTCACAATCTTCTTAGGTAAGGTTTTTTTTTTTTTTTTTTTTTTTTTCCTTTCATTGAACACCAATTTCACAATCTAAGGTTCATCATTAATCGATTTATGTCCGAAAGTCCACTTGATATTGTGGTGGTCATGTGGCGTGTTCCCAGGTGGTAGCAGCGGTACAAGATGAGAGATCGGTGCGTGCTACGGTGTTTGTAGCCTTGCGTCGAAAGTCTTCCTAACAATGTAGATGGTCAGGCAGCGGGTCCTGTGGGTGATAACGGCGGTGCAAGATGGTTTCGCTGAAGGGCAGGTCATGAGTTATGTGGTCCTTGGCTTGAGGGGAGGATTGTTGGGATTGGCAATCCAAGTCCCACATGGAAGAAATGAGAAAGGGATGACTTCCTTATAAGGGGAAGCACACTCCATTAGTATGAGGCCTTTTAGGAAGATGCCCAAAAACAAATCCGTGCGGGCTAGGCCCAAACCCAAAGCGGACAATATCATACTAATGTGGTGCAGAGTGTGTGGGCGGCCCGACGATGTGGGTGACCCGGGCTCAACAGAGTATAATTAACTACTTAGCTTTACCAATTTGGCGCTAATGACTATCATCTTATTGATTGATCAACTAATCATGGCAGGCCAGACGCCCTCTAGGCGTTCTAAATGTGATTTCAGGTTATGAACCAACTGCTGGTGCAACCCTCTGTTCTCACATGAATGTGGACAAGGTAAAAAGGAACTATATATTCTGTTGTGCTCACTTGTTTGTTAATTCTAACTAAAACGAGTAAATTACAGTAGATACTAATAGTGTTAAGAGGTTTGGAGACTTTGGACACAATGTTGCATTATATTAGAAAGATATTGAAAAATCCACTGATCATTGCTTGTTGTGTAAGTAACAAATTAACAATAATAGGAGAGAGAAATAATAACATATTTGTACAAGTGGGCTGTGGGGTTAATGGGAGTGATATAATAAAATTGTAGTAGGCTTAACTCCTTGCTAGATAGGAAGTGTTGCCATTATTACTAAACGGAGGATGTATATTATTAAAATAATATAATATGAATTTTCCTGAATTTATTTTGGCATTAAATAAAGTTTTTCTACAAGCACTGCCTTTTCTTAAAATTGTGTAATTTTAAGGCTTATTAATTTTACTTTTTTCGGCTAGGGAATATTAAAATCTATATTTTTTATACTACTGCAATTTTACAGGAAGCATTTCCTTCTGGTGCCTTATGGTCTATTATTAAACAAGCATTTTGAGAAATTGACACAGTGTGATACGCATCTTAATTTCCTGAGCCGGTAACCAGAAATAAGTCTAGATTCTCCATACTTCGATTTGCAGCCTTCTGTTTTTGACGACTCAAATGAATCTAAAAGTCATAGCTTGGATCAAATATAAACTAGCAGAGGACCTAGCATCTCAATCTTTGAAGATGTTGGAATACCTTTATCCCAGTAATCATCTCTCTCAGTCAAACAAGTTATGGAACATCTGAGACTCTGTCTTGTGAAGCTACTTCTCCGAGCTCAGGTATCCTTTTTATCACCATGTCTGCTACGATTTAGACACCATTGATGTTGTTGTGTTTGTCCTAGACCTCTGTATTTGGAGATGGTGTCTGAAATTTGGCATGGATTCCTCAACAATTTTCTTGTTTATTTTTCCCCCCGGGGGGGGGGGGGGTGGAGGATGCCGAGATTTAGTATGTCTATTACGATTACTTTCATATAAGTTTACTAGCAATAAAATCAAATATGAATTGGCCTGAACCGACCTGAAGCATACCCTATCATGACCTGAATTTTGTACCAACCCAAAAAACCTCATTGCCACCTCTAAAGCAATTTGTGGTCATGCTTCTTGTTTTAAATGTTCATTACCATAAAAATCCTATGCTTTAACGGGGATATGGGTGTAGGGCCGTAGGGGGGTGACTTCCGACACTTAATATGTCTAATACGTTTTATTTAACATAGTAAGATAGTTGGCATATAGAATTAAATATGATTTGGCCCAAACTCACCTGATTCAGTTGAACATACCCAAACATGACTTGACATGGCCTGAATTGTACCACTTCTGAACAACCCACTTGCCACCTCTAGATGTGTATCTGGTGAGCAATATATGGCCATGCTTCCTCTTTAAATGTTCATTATCTTAAGAATCCTTTGTTTTAAATTTTGGAAGGGCAGAACTATTTTATGTCTCAGTCTATCTCAGCCTCAGCATTCACTTGCTAGCTACCTAGGTGCCCGTGGTGTTGAGATATAATTCATCATGTTTATGATATCAATGGTCATCAATAATCTTGGACATTGGCTTTTAATTTCCATTTGTTAAATTTCCTTCTGATCACCAAGTATTCATTTCAGTGATGGATGTGTGCGTAATGAAAGTTAGTTCGAGTAGCCAATCAGGAAAACCAAAGGAATTAAAAAGCGTTGAACAGTGAATTATGCATGAGTGACCCTGTGAATCATATTGGAAATTGCCTTACGAAACAACAGTAGTTCACTGTTCAACGCTTTTTAATTCCTTAATTTATAAGAAAAGAAACATTAGGAAGTCCATGTGAGAGAAAGACAGGAATTTGTGTCCAAAATATCTGCCAAACGCAGCCAGCATTACGCATAAAGTCCTCGAAAATTTCTTCTTTTTCGTCTGAAGTCTGAAAACTTGGTTTTACTGGGCTACCATACCAACGAGGAAGTCTAAAGGCCTCACAATGATGCACAAGCAAGTGCATCACAATGACATCTTCGTAGGGTGTAGGTATTAGTACGGCCCTAAACTAGGGTGTAGGTATTAATAATTAGGACAGGGTCAGTGCAAAAGTAAAGCAGGCCATTAATAGGCCGAGAATGCTTTTCTTCTCTGCTTCTTATCAAGATTGTTTAGGATGGTATATGTACATTGTTGACGTTATTTTACAAAAGTCAAAGGTATATGTGCATCATTGAAGCATAAAATGAACATACAGGGAACCTCTTTTAATTTCATATTACTAGAAGTAGAAAAAGTAGATTGTTGCTAGCATTTTTATTGTCAAATTGAGTGCATAAGTAGGAAGCTCAATGAGTCAAGCTTTAGCATAAAATTAACAGATATGTTTAGAAGCATAAATTTTAAGGTCTCAACTTGCTGCACATTGATCCGGGAACAGAAAATTCAGGTACAATTTTACAGACATATTTCTTTTGAGAATAACAACCCCATGCGTAAACAACAGTAGTTCCATGTTTAACTTCTACAGAAGTAGCTTAGCTCACATAAGAAAAAGTCAGCTCTATACTTAAATCTCAAGCAACATAATGATCTGTCTGAACCAAAAAATAAATCAGGCTTGCTACTAGTGCTGCAGACATCAGAGGGTATGCATCTAGTGGATCAATTCATTTATCGACCCCCTTCACCTACCTGCAAACTGCGTAATTGTATACATGATAAGAAAATTATCGGATGATAACAGAAATATATCTATAACAAACTTATGTATAACAAAAATATATCTTTAAATTGTAAGACAACAAGCAAGAACGACATCTGATATTAAATTGGTAATTCATTGTATTTATGTGATATTAACTACTTGTATGTTTGATTGCTAAAATCTATCCTTGATACAGAGAGTAATTATATTTCCTTAGCATATCGTAAAATCTATCAAGTTAATCATGTTTACAAAATATGAATAGCTGCTAACAAGATTCGATGAGGGAGTTGTGTTATATTATCTAGAAGGCTTAGCTGAAGCTGAGGATACACACATAGGTTCATACATTTCTCTGCCTCACATTGACCCCCAATGCCACTACATTCTACAACTTTGACAGATTTTTTTGCCAACAGAACAGCAGTGAAGCAATAGCCATAATACTCCAACTACAATTAGACAGAACACATCAATAACATCAACCTGCATTAACTTTTCTGCAAAGACTAATCTACACCCAGAGAGTTGGAACACAAACTCAGAGACATGAATCTTAGTACTCATAAACAATAGTAAAATACAATACAATAAGACATAACACATCAATTGGGAACTTTTCTGCAAAAACTAATCTACACGCAGAGAGTTGAATGCAGACTCATAGACATAAATCCAGTACTCCGTATGCATAATTTTATTTTAAACCTGTACATAACAAAATAATTTGATGGACGTTTCATAGAGATGAGAACATGGAGTGAAAATTCAGAATAAGATTATGAGATTTTTCAAGAAATGACGCAACTACAAAGAGAAAAAATATCAACTGAAACAGGAAACAAGAAAAGGAATAAGTAACAAGTGATGTACCGATAGTTGTCCAACCTTTTAGTTTCAGCAATGACAATGAATGTAATTATTATACGAGACTTCCAAAAGGAATTAGAAAGAAAATATTAATTGTTATATGAATCATACAACATAATGTATGTGTAAAGACATTTAGTCTAATCTATGTGTCAATTAACAGTTATTTACAATGCCTTTTCACAGTAGTTTGTTGCATATTCCGCAGAAGTACGCCTAATCCAAAAGTTCAGTTACTCATCATCACCAATAAACCAAAGAAATAATGCCAAATTACGCACTTCTAGTCCATTACAACTCATGTAACAAGGAGTATCAAAAATTCCAAACATACAAATTAACTCATAGATGACATGCTTAATACCCAATACCAAAACACACTTAACACCCATCACCCACACAATACCACTCAACACCCATCACATACACAATACCACTCGACAACCATCACCTGTGCAACACCCATCACATACTCACATCGTCCAAGACACACAAGCAATAATACGACACCTTTGCCCACACACCTCAAACACTATTCACACACAATGTAACCTAAAAAAACCACTAACTAGCCCATATGACAGTCACAAAATTGTCTAAAATAAACCTGAAAACACCACACCAAAATAGCCCCAAATCGTTATCAAATGCTTACTAGGACAGGAAATCAATATTGAGATCCACAACTTGAAAATCTTTAAGAGCATCTGAAAATGACTTCGTATATGCCCTGTTAAATTAAAAAGTGTTAAACAAAAATTTTAAACAACATAAAAGATGTACATTAGAAATAACAAAATATTAAATTCTTACCAACTAGAATTTTTTGCATAATCACACACGGTGTCATAAAGTGTTGTATATATCGAAGGAAACACTTTTGTAATTAGACTTTCCCTTTCCTCAAGAGTCAAACCGCCCTATAAAAGATAAAGATAAAAAATTAGCAGATGGCAATAATTAATTAATATTTTCGTAAATAAAATAGAAATAAAGTCATTACATATTTCCCGCGTACAGTATCATATTGATAGTCATTAGCAGGGAAAACACTGCATGAATAAAATTAATGACACGAGATGTTTCAACATAAAAGTCAGATCCTTTGTAGTTGTAGATTGCTGTCAATAACATGTCATTTGAGACTTCAATCCTCCAATTTGCAGCCTTAAAATTCGATTTTAATTGCTCACTGAAATCGTTCTCATCGATTAACCTTTCTTTAATAGCTTCTTCAAGACACCGGATGAAAGAAACCCGATGATTTATCGACCACATAAACGGGTGATCAATCAACAACATTGGATGAATGTTATCATGTCTGTTAGAAATAAAACATAAAATTTTTAATCATAAAAAAAAAACTTTATAAGTAATGTACAATTGCAAATAACATGCTTTTTAATAGTTACATAAGCAAAATATACAAAGTATAATATTAGCATAAACTGAACTTATAATGAATAAAAAGGATATGAAAACAGATTTAAAGGAAATTTACTTACATTTTCCTGACTCTTAAGCTTTTTAAAAAATGACGCAATTCTAAAGGCAGGTCAGTAGATAGCTCAAATTCTTTACGCCAAGTTTCCAAATCTGGTATTGATCTTGGTCTTATCAAAGTAATGACTCCTTCAATAATGGACAACAAGTCATACACTTCTTTTTGCGCTTGACTGAATGTAAATTTTTCTTGAGAAATATGGAATATTTTGGCTTCTCCCTCCTCAGTGACATAAAAAGTGATTTTTCCAGATCACTACGGACTTCTTGATCTGAATATATGGCAAGCATGCCACATATTACGCCTCTACAATACAATAATATATTATTAAATTTCATTCATAAAATAAAAATATATTAAATTAACAAAGTAAATTTTTTACCGAAATATTGATTGAAAGTCGTCTTTGATATATTCCCACCAATTTTTTACAAGTTTGAGCCATTGCTTCCGATCTGAAATCTTCAAGCTTCAATTCAAAGAACACTTTTACTGGACGGACCGGCTCAACAATTGCTACCCTACTGGAAAGGGAGTGGAAATACATTAAAAATTCAATTTTCAATAGGCATGAGTTTTTCTTAAGCCTAATTGAGACATCTGAAGTAGAATTCTCGCCAATTTTGATATACGACTTGGGAAAAGAACTCCCGCCTATCTTCATTACACCAAGATATGAAAATTCATCAAGCTGGGTCATTTCAAAGTATATCACACCATCCTCTGTAAACTGTAAATATATATTTATCAATACAGAATAGAGAAAAATGTATAACAAATAAAACGATACATATTGTTCTAGACAACTCTTGATCCTTGTGCAATAACACTGAATCTAGACAACATATATTCTTTGACTACTCTTGCAATCATTATTGTTTTACTGTTCTATAGAAAATGGCTTAAAATCTCTACTAACTTTGCTTATGTTGAAGATTGTAACAGATAGCTTATTTCAAATTGATATATTAAAGATGTCTGGCTGGTTTAGTATACTATATTTGGCAGCAAAGAAACAAAGCTATGTAGACTTTTCATCATGATGATCATACACATGTAACTAGTCCTCCGAAACAAAATATGCATTATAGAATTTACAGATTTCTTCCAGGAACTAGTAGTGATGAGCTAATGAAGTTAAATGGTTGAGAACTGTATTTAAACATGTAGTCTTTTAACTCTTAGTGTTTGTTACGCTTAGGTCTTGAATGTAATGGCTAATCAGTGACCTAATAATATTTTTTGTTCTTTCCAAATAAAAAAAAATCATAAAATTAACGAAAAGTTGAGAAGAGATTACCTTCATCATTTTTTGGGAAGAGGCATCCACACCCAAAGATGAGGGATCCAAGGTCAAAGAAGGGATCGCCAAAGTCGAAGCGGACGCAACCAAGGTCGAAGTGGATGCCGCCTTGGTCGGAGTGGATGCAGCCTTGGTCGGGTGGATGCAGCCTTGGGTGGAAGAGGTGGCAGCCTTGGTGGAAGAGGAGGCAGGAGCCTTGGTGGAAGAGGAGGCAGGAGCCTTGGTGGAAGAGGAGGCAGCACGCTCATCATCCAAAAATTTACTAGCTCTTTCCACTGCAATTCTATCCAAATCTGGTTAACTTTTCGGTTGTAGTCTTTTTATCCATTTGAGACAAACTTTGAATCTTTCATCATCTACATGCACTGCACCCTTCTGATCATGCACATATTTATAAAGAAGATATGCTTCCAAAATATTATTTTGCTTTCTGTTGGCATAACTACAAGGCATTTTAAAAAATTTAATTAATGTCAACATGATTAAAGATGACTAACTATTGTCTACTATATTGTCCGTATAGAATCAATTCAAATAAATATCTTGTAAGAGTTACATCATCCTGATAATTTATCAAAAATCCTTAGAAAGGAAGAGAATAGACTTACGCAAACGTAAACCATTCACTAAGTGCCAAAGTCGTTTTATGTCCAAATTCTTCGAGTTGTTTTTGCAAAGCCAATACCCCTGATCATACAAAATTAAATGAAAACATTAAGATAAATGAAGTACAAAATAATACAAATTTACAATACAAATAACACAAATATGCTTTCCAAATTTAGTCAATATTTGTTAGCTTTCTTTATCTCTCAAGTTGTTAATTTCAGATTAATATTCGCTTGCATTTCTCTATTGTTTCCTTAGGAAACTGAAAATGTTGTATTTATCGCTTCCAAGCTTTCTTTCCCTAAGCCTTAAAGCCACTCACTTGTAAAAAGAAAATAATCAAAAGCTTTCCAAATCTTACCGTTCCTAGTAGAAAATAAGAATTAAAGCAAACAATAGACCATACTACATCAAACCATTTCATTGGAGGAAAATAAACTTACCTTCAAACCGTCTCAAACTTGCAAGTACATGCACTTTCGCAGAATAGACTTTTAAATTTTTCAACCACTCATCATCAAGAGAAATGATAAAATCCAAGCACTCTTGTAATCTTTCTTGCTCCAACAAAGCTGAAATCTTCTCTATTATTTTATCCTCTGAAATTTCATCCTTTGAATTCTTTTTCTTTTGCTGCCGTTTCTTCTTTTTAGCACCTTGAGTCATTATCCTCACTCTGATTACAAGGCAAGTCATTGATAAGAAGCTAAAAAATTGACATCACTTGGCATAATATTTGGTTGTGACACTAACAATAGTAAGAGAGAAAAGAAACAATCGGTTGGCATCATAATAATAATTATTACTGTATTATTATTGAAGTATGAGGAAAAACAGTTGGGTAAACATCACCATATTAATATTACCAAGTATTAATTAAGGGAACCATATAACAAGAAAATAATAATAATAATAAAAAATGAGAACCATATAACAAGCATGTACCAACACAAAAGGCAAGTGTCTAATGGAACAAGTCTTAATTTTCTCAACCCTAAGCTATGTAAATAAGTTTTTTCCCATAAGCAAACTTCAACCAATTGAAGAGAACTTCATCAAATAATTATTTTTTAGAAATTGGAGGCATGACTTTTAAGCTATCAATCAATGGTGTTGGCTGCTAGAACTCATACTAAAGCCGTACTACTTCACAACAACTGTTCACAACCTTTTGCTTAGGAGTTGAACACCCATCAGTACTAGCACAGGTTGTGTTCAAATACAACCAGCTAGTATAAGCTTGTTTACACACAGAAAAAAAGGAAGATAGTTCTACCACCCAACCCAACTAGGAAAACAACCCACAATCATGCATGACTGATATAGACTGAAATCTTCACAGTGATAGGCAATAATGTTTATGGAACTTCTAAATTGTAGAGAAATTCAAAATTAAGATGTCATGCCAATACCAGACAACAATTTAACCTTCTTTTCTTGTATCAATTCTCAAGATTACATATCCATCACAACTCATACGCTTAATTCTACATTTTGTAACAATTGCTTAATTCTGCATTATATTAATGAGCATACATAAGGAAAAAAAAATTGAAAAGAGACATAGGAAACGGAAGAAATGGAATATGGTTCAGGTTCATTATCCATAATGGACTCAAAACCTACCCTCAACTCCAAGACCCTAATAAACATGGTAAGAGTGATAACATTTGGTGCAGAAACTGGTATTAAAATAGTCCAACAGGTACAATATGAAGTTCACCCCAAAATACGAGAGAGCAGGGGACAGGGAAGAGGGTAGATACCTTGAAGGAAAGCTTAAAAGACAGACTTAGACTAAATGAAGGCCTGACTCAGGACATAGATCAACTATTGAACAGTAACGAAAAACACGAGTAAAGATCAACAACTACGCATCTCATGAGTCGGAGAGACAAATGTGCAGCATTACAGGCATATTTCATTCACCTCTACTTTTCAACCAATTTCATGTTCAAGAGAAGCTTAAACGATAGAAAGTAGGCTTGATTGATTCATGACATGTTTGAACTACTGAACAAGCAATGAAAATGTTGAGGAGCATTTAGGCTCCATTTGTTTTGACAGAAAACATTTTCTAAAGGTGGAAAACAATTTTCACAAAGGTGGAAACTAATTTTCTCTAAAGTGAAAAATATTTACAGTATGCCACACTTTTCTTCCCACTCTTTACATTCTTCTTCTATCCTCTTATCCATTCTCCCTTTCACTCTCACTTTCCCTTCCTTATCTTTTACTTTTTTAATATTATACTCAAAATCATAATTACTCTTGATTGACATTGTATCTTTGCACCCAATGTGTTCTATTTCATCATTCAAATCAATATCACTAATAAAAAAACACTTACTACTCCTCCATTCCATAAAGTTTTCTTAATTCTCTTTTAAGTTTATTACAGAAAACTTATCTCTCTCTACTAAGATCATTTTAAAAAGTTCTTCCCAATTACGCTTTAATTCACTTTGATCAAATAAGTAATGATATATTAGCCCAAGTTAGTCCATAGTTGATTTTGATTGCGCTCTATCACTCCCTTCAAAAATTATAATCACAACAACTCATATCAATATTAAAATATGAAATAGAGTCTCATATAATATGCAAAATATACCACATGCTTGATTTGTGACATAAATATTTCAACATATTAAGCAAAAACTGGATTTAGTTCAGAAAAAACAAGTTTTGAAGACCTGAATTGATGATTGTAAGCATCTGAAGAAGAATGAAATGGCTTTCTGGAAAATCTGGAAAAAAAAAAAAAAAGAATAAGAGTATCAACTATCAAGTGATAAGCAAAAAAAATCGAAAAGAAAGAAACAACACAAATAGATAAATAGATAGAGAAAGTCGATAGAATACCGCGGGATTGCTGGTGACACCTCTCACACCATTAGCAATGTAAGGGATCACTTCATTCCTGATATAGTTTAGAGCATTATTGACAACATGTCAACGGCATTTCCCATAAACTTCCTTTGAATATGGAATTAGTTAATAATATCAACGTTCACATGAAACCACTTACATCAAATTAAACAAGCAATTAAAGCCTCAAATGCCATTTCAAGCTTGCCAACAAGGATTCCAAGTCAAAAGGCAACCGAAAGAGATATGAGTATGCTATATATATATATATATATATATATATATATATATATATATATATATATATATATATATATATATATATATATATACCAAGTGCAGGATAACTTCAGCTTCCAACAGGTCCTTCAAGAAAGGCGATTCGAGGTCGGATGGCATAAGGAGAAAAGACTAAGAAAAGAAGTTGAGCTAAAACATGTGGAAGGTGAGGATGAACCCACTATATGTATACCAAAAGGATGAATTTGTAACATAGTAGTAGACTAGTAGTACTCAACTGAGCCAAGTCACTCTGAAGCTTAACTGATTACAGTAATAGCAATCAAATAAGGGGGGTTTCATAAACAATAACATGCACAATTGCCCGTGGGCCAACGACACAAGGAAAGCAATAGCATTAAGAAGAAAGTAAGAAGCATAACAGAGCTGAGTAGCTGACACTAACAAAACCCATTAATCTTTTGACACTGACTTTAAAGAGTTTAACCCTTATCACTAGAGAGCCTAAGTTACTTGTATCAATTGCCCTTTCCTTTTTCTCCCCCTCTTTATCTATAGAGTGGAAAACCAACTACGACTTTCAATTAGGCCAGGAACAACTTCAACCATATAAGTAAAAAAATGTAAAGAATAAAAAGGAACGACGAAGTGGCATTATAACTCTCTAAATGACACATCAACTTTGTTTGCAAGTGGAGCTTATGTTCAATTTTAAAATTGATCAAAGGAAGTGCAAATGGAGATTTACACATATTGAACTCCGTTAAAACTTGGTAGTAAGTATATATTGATAACTTTCCAACTAGAAACGCTGAAGAAATTGCTAAAAATGAGGATCATTTACTTGCAGGTTATTCGACCAAATTACTTTTTCTCCATTGCAGCTCCCACCAATACCAGTCTGATGATGCAAGTAAAATGGGACGATAATATTTTTAAATTTCACGAATTTGAATAACCCACAAACAGCAAGACTTTGAATGGAAAGCAGCAGATACTTGAGATTAGTACATTTATCTTATCAAACAAGCTAAGCAATGGTTTGCTTAGATGGTCCCTTACCAGCCACTATGTTAGTTTAAATAAATAGATAAATAAGTGAAATTGACACACACAAAATGCCATGCACTATACAATAATTTTAAAACAGAGGCTCTAACTAGACAGAGGATATGCATGATGTTCATAACTATCAGGGAACAATCGGAACATCCAGGAAATGAGTACAACAACTAAACGAATTCGGAAAGCCAGGAAGAAGTGAAGCTAGAACAAAAAGGAAATGCCGTAACATTAGCATAACATATCATACGGAGATACGAAGTATAACATTAGGCAAACGACAATTTCAACCACAATTTGACATTCAGACCTATGACCTTGACATAATTCAATAATTCTCAAATCAATTAATCTGGATCCTAAATCTATAAAAAAAGTAATCAAAGCGTAAATCGAATTCAACCAGATCAACAATAGCATAACATATCATACGGAGTAAATAAGTAATCAAAGCCGAAATCAAATTCAACCAGATCAATCATCAATAGCAGAACATAAACTGCATTCATTCCCCCTATCCCATTATCACTATTTAATACGGCAATTAAGCCTAACAAACTCCAGCAACAACTAATACAGGGAATCAAAATAACAACCGAATAACAATTAAGGGTTAGGGTTAGCAATATTTTTTTAAAAACGAAAAAAAAAAAAGGAAAAACCATTACCTGGTGGTCGGTAGCCGACGCACGAAGGACGGCTGAGGGGAACGGAGGGTGGCCGGCGAAGGGTGAGTGGCGGCGGGTAGGACCTACTCTCTCCTTCTCCTACTTATTTTGTTTGACAAAAAATAGAAATAAAACCAGAACCCTAAAATTACAAAATTGAAAACCAAATCAACGACAAACCCTAGGTTGCGAAGAAATTCGGTAGATTAAGAAGACCACAATGGCCCAACTCTTACCTCGAAGCTGCTTCAATGGAGGTGAGAAAACTCAGAATGCGCTTAATGGAGGATAGAGAGCACGAGTTCAATGGAGGAGAGATATGGAGAGAGAAGGAGGTGCATGCAGCTGCTTCAATGGAGTGAGAGAGCTCGAAAACGGCTTCAATGGAGAAGGTGGGAATTCGGAGGTGGTGGCGTGGAATAGAAGGTGAGAACGAGCTGAGGGAAAAAACAAGTTGAAAAATCATGGGGAAAGAAAAGAAGAAGAAATACGAGCTGAGAAGCCCGGTTTTTTTAATGGCACCGGTGCTAACTACTAAAGTGGGCACCGGTTTAAGACGTACCGGTGCCAACTCTATTGCTTTCTTCGTTTTTTGTTTCTTTTTTTTGGTTGGCACCGGTTTGAACCGGTGCTAATTAGATTAGTTGGCACCGGTTTTGGTTGGAACCGGTGCCAACTCTGAATTTTCTAATCCCGCCCATTTCTTTTGGCACCAGTTTTCAAGAACCGGTGCTAAAGAGAGGGTGTCTATTTCAAAATTTCTACTAGTGATCGCATTATGGAGATAATAAGATTGTTTAGTTGGGTTGTTTTTACGTCTTGCTAAAGACCAATATTGATCATTGGGTCAAACCAATGCCAACTAAATGGATCCTATCTATGAGGTCACGTGTTACAGTGTTAGGTCGAACAAGGAAACCGAGTCCAAAAGTTGGGCTTAGTGAATGACTGGCCATAAGGAGTAAGAGAGGAATAGGTCTTGCCCTAATTGGATAATATGATTATATAATAAAGGGGTTGAGGAAAAATAACACAGACGTTCATCTTTCACAAAGAAACAACATAATATTTTACCTTTCCTCTCTCTCTACAACCAGTTAGAAGTTCTCCATGCAAGAGGAGATTAATCCCTCCCGTCCAACTAGCATATATTGGTGGAGGTTCGATCTACGCTTGTGGACCAATAATAGAGGAGTAACAGTTGAGGCTCTAATCTCCGAAAGGAGGTTGAAGAAAGCTTGGGAATTAACGCATCAAAGGTTAATTCTAAACTATTATGTGATCCTTTATCTTTATGTGGCGTGAAGATTTGAACCTAAGACTTTTAGCACAAAATCAATGCATTACCACTATGACAAAGCTAATTTCATGTTATTTATTGCATTAAAATTGTATTTAACCTGTAAATTTACACCTTTACCTAAATTAATTTTTTTTTTTAAAAACAATTTTTGGTGGGGCCAATGCCACCCAGGCCCCTTAATAGGTCCGCCCCTGCAAGATCAATTATCTACATAATATTAAGCAATACGGGCTTGATGCATACGCAAAATGGCTATGCTTATGTAGCTAAGATTTTAGCTATACACATTTTATCATTCGTCACATAACAATAATAAATATATATAGGTGATTACTTATTGTTCCAATCTAACTATCCAAGGAAATTATCATCTCACATTCGACTTTTAATCGCTCGTTTGGCAAGTCTCTTCTTTACCCTCTATTTGGTACATTAATTTGCAGATCACTTATGCAAGCTTTGAAAAGCACAAATAAGAAAGTTGCTTTCGAGATTCTGAGTAAACTTTAATATTAGAACAAATAGATACTTAAATAATTAAAGTTTTACCACTCAAAAAAAATCCTAAATACGAAGTACTTAGTCAAAAACCAACATTATATACCAATTCTTCCTCCATAAAAGTGTTTGATTATGTGTTCAGATTTTTTGAAAAATTGAAACATTAAATAATATAGTTGATTAAATATAGTACTTGTTCTTTCAAAAAAAAATATATAGTACTTGTTATAATGTTGAAAAATAGAAAAAAAAAAATATAGGAATTGAAAAAAAGTAAAATGGCTGGCAACAAGAATTGAATTCTAGTTAATAAATGCAGTACTTGTTATAATGTTGAAAAATAGAAGGAAAAAAAAAAAAAAAAAAGGCTGGCAACAAGAATTGAACTCCAGTATCTTATATGAAGTATACAAGTTCAACTCCCTAACAATGAAGGCAACAGTTTATTCTTTGTATAATGTTGAGGTTTAAAATATATATTTAGATATTTTTCACTTAGGCCCCGTTTGGTAGGGCGTAAAACATTTTCACTGAAAAGTGTTTTCCCATTTTACATTGTTTGGTTTGGTGTAAAATATTAAAATGTAAAACTTGGGGTGGAAAATGATTTTCCACCCTATTGAAACATTTTCCCCCCAATTTAGAAGGAAAACATTTTCCATCACAAGTGGAGGGAAAACATTTTCCATCACAAATTGGAGGGAAAATATTTTCCCTCACAATTGAATTTTCAGTTCAACCAAACATTGGAAAATGGTTAAAATGGAAAATCATTTTCCATTCAACCAAACAACGGAAAACTTTTTTGAAAATGAGTTTTTCATTGTAAAATGATTTTCATGGATAACCATTTTACATTGAAAATGTTTTACCCCTACCAAACGAAAAAAATAAAGCTTTAAATGAACTCCCGAGGGATCGATCCCGCGTTCCCAACCTCTACAACTCATCCATTGACCACTGCACCAATTCATTTCCCATAACTAATTTTTCACCAAATAATGTATTTGATCTAAATTTTTTTTGTTTTTTTTTTCAAGTGGGGGAACAACTGTCCTCCTTGTCCCACCCTAGCTCCGCCACTGGTTATGTTTTAACCTTACACGTTTCTCAATGCACTTGTTTGACCATTTGATATATTCCATTGCATACATGTAAAAATTAAAACGATTCATTGAATATTAATAAAGCACTTATTAAGACGAATCAAACAAGACCCACATGCCTATATTATGCCTTATATATTGGCAATAAAATAGCGTCAAAAATCAAAACGTAACTAATAAATAGGAACGGAGAGAGTACCAAGTTATATTAAACCATTGTATAAAAAAAAGGAAAATTTGAAAAATATCACCATCTATTGTTCACATTTTGTACAATACCACCTTCTTTTTTTTTTTTCCACCTAGTTTTCTCAAAAACAAAAAAAACTCCCACCACTTTTGTCCAACTCCCCTACATGACGTTACGATGGATCCCACTACCAATTGTACCTTTTATTTTGTGGATTGCTAAATACCGCCAACAAAATTTATCAAACCGCCAACATTTCAAGCAAAGGGACTACATTACCCTTACTAAAATCTTCCCCTTTTTCTTTCTCTAACTTTATTCCATAATTTCCATCCACCACTTCTAAAACAACCACATCAACCACCACCAATCACACCACCGGTACCACCCACGCCACCATGTCGACCACTACAACCACAACCACCATCTCAACCACCACCATCTACACCAGACTGCCAATAATAATAATAACAGTTAATCATAATAATTATCTAATAATAATAAAATTAATTATAATTATTATGTAATAATAATAACAATTAATTAGAATAAGTTTAAAATAAAAAAATGTTGGCCGTTAAACGGCGCTCAAAACCAGTTGGCCGCCACTGGTAACCAACGGTCAAAATCGTTTGACCGCACACGGTGGCGATCAACCGGTTTTGAGCGCCGGTTACCAGCCATCGGGATTTAAAAAAAAAAACTTAAAATTCAAAACAAAAAGCTAATCGGTAAACTTATCTCCTTCCTCGGATTTCCAGCCATCTCGTCGCCGTCAACGACCCGACACCAACGTCTGTTTGAGCCACCACCTCCTGAATGTCGTTGCCTAGTATACCGGTTGCCTCTATTGTGGTGGTGGTGGTGGTTGTGTTTGGGGATCTTGGGGGGTGGTTGATGAGAGAGAAAAAAGAAAGAGGAGAAAGATGGGTTTGAGTTTAGTATTTTAGTAAGGGCAATAATGACATTTCATTTGAAATGTTGGCGGTTTTGATTTTTGTTGGCGGTATTTAATACCCCTTTTCTTTTCACCTTTGTTCTTCCTTCTTCTTCCTCATTGTCTAATTTTAATATCAATTTGCGAATCAATTAGGCATTATTTAGGGTTTTAATTCGCTAATTTGTTTTTCAAGCCAAACGACAATGCAAAATCAAGGGCATAATCATGTTATAGAGAGTTTTGTTTAATTAGGGTTTATAAAATCAATTAGGGGGTGTTTCAATTGAAATTAGGGTTTATAAATTAAATTTGGGGAGTTGATTCTTGGGTTAATTAGTTGCAAAATTGGTTAATTAGGATGATTAGGGAAGAAGAAAGGTGAAATTCAAAGAAAAAAAAAAGGAAAATTGGTTAGTGGGACCCAACGTGACGTCATATAGGGGAGTTGGGCAAAAGTGGTGGGAGTTTTTTTGAGTTTTGAGAAAACTAGGTGATAATATACAAAAAAAAAAAAAAAAAAAAAAAAAAAAAAAAAAAAAAAAACTTAAGGTGGTATTGTACAAAATGTGAACAATAGTGATGGTATTTTTCAAATTTTCCAAAAAAACAAAAGTTATATTAAACCATCAAGACCCACCACCTCCAAGCACAAGCACCAAACATGAAACTCTCATCAGAATTTTAGCTTGTATAAATCCTCACTCCTTTTCATCATGTTTATATCTTGAACCTAGTGCATGGGAAGCACATTAAAATCGCTAGGTGCATAGAGCATGTTGTTAAGTATACTCGAGCATATATAATAGAATACAAGATAACTCACTTGTCATTTGACTGTGAATTTCACTTCTCAAGTTTTAGGAGCAAACAAATTTACTTTTTAGGTGATTTTGAAGCTAAAAATCATATACTGATCCCACTTTGTATCATTATGCAATTCTTTTGACAGAATTTAATTTCCAAAGCCATTATTACATTTGATATGAAGTACGAGCAAAAGTCTAGGTGAAAATCTTGGCAGATCAATCATCAAAACATAATACAGTACCTATTTTAATTTCAAATCATTGAAACAAGTACTGCTACAATCTTATGCACAATATGTATGCCTCCCATAATATATGATACACTTGCATGAAAATCAAACATGCTACTATTAGTTATTTTTTCCTAATCACGTTAAACACACAAGAACAGGAACTAAACAAAGCTCAATACTACCTTTTTTTTAGACTAGACAACTATGTCATGGCGAATGTGTCGTAAGAGCACTGGTATCACACTGTCAGGGGAGCTCAACTGAGGAAGATGGCCTTCCGATGACATGACCTCGACGATAGAATCTCCTCCAAGGTTCTGATGGAGATACTCAGACACAACCACTGGAACAGCCAAGTCCTTGATACTCTGAATAATTTGGCAAGGAATAGTCACATGACAGAGCAATTGCCTAAAGTCGCTTTGAAAAATGGTTTGAGCCACGCTAAGGGCGATGTCAGGCCTCATGTTGAATAAAGTCCTGCTGAACTCTTGGACAGTTACTGAGTCCATATCCCCACCCACTGCCAATGGGGCAAAACCCGAGCACCAAGCCTTGTAGTTGGACTGCATTGCCTCAAATAGTTGGTCTAGATCTTCTTGCTCGAACCCTCCATAGTAGTCAACATCGTTCAAGTACCTGGAAAATAATTGGTGATACATAAAGACCCAAAATTTAGACAACCCATGTGATGACTTTATGGTGTGTCACTAGCATTACAGACCCCAGTTCTATCACTTTATCCCACTTGCTAGGAGGAACTGATATGAACATGAAATTTCTACCAGGTAAAACGCTCGAAAATCAGGACAGATCAGAGCAGCAGATAATAAAAATACATTCTAATCGACTTTTATAATCATCTGTAAACAGATTACAGGACTTTAAATCATCCAAGACCATAGACATAATAAAAATATGTTCTAGATTAAGGCTGTGTAATGTATCATTGGTTGGAAAACATATTCCGAGTATTAAAATTCTAATACCATTTTCCCTCTTACCATCAAACAAATCACAAACGATGGGAATTGATTCCTCAACTCTGCTGCACAATATTGGGTGAACAAAAACCATAGGTTGAGACACAAGGTGAGGTAAGATCAACATTAGCATTAACTTAAATTATCTGGATCGCGAATTGACGTAACAAACAAGATAAAATTGTACAAAAAGTTTGATTTGGCAACTTCATATGCAGTTAGTTGTGTTTGGTTCGAAGAAAAACATACTTGTATTGAACTAAATTTATTTTTTCGTAAAATTTTAGACTATAACTGTCCATGCATGTACATCATTAACCGGATGTACTTCATTAAACTAGAAAATAGTAAAATGAAGCTTTTGTAATGACGGAGAGGAAAGGAGGAGAAACAAAAAGGACGGAAAAATGTGGAATTTAGCCTAAGATAAAGAACATATTTTCCACCCGTAATTCTTGAAATTTAGAAATTATTTTAGCCCTTTAGAAACGACAAACAAAATGGGAAAACTAATTTTCTTTCAACCACACAGAAACTAAAACTCAAGCAATTATTCACCATTAAAGAAGCAAAATCAAAATAGCACACTCTTATATGAAGGACAGTTTCATAGAACGTTTTCGACATAAACAGATACTAATCTAATTTAATAACATGGACAATCCAAATGTAAACCATTTTCTCCGATTAATCCAACATTACAAGTACGTAGCACATAACATTCCCAATTCAAAAGCCGTAGTCTTATTACAATTTCGAGCTATAATTTAATAAAAAATTATTCAGAATCAATTCAATCCAATCCAATTCAATCCACAGCGCGGATTTATGTGGTACGGAGATTAAAAATCCTAATATATACCACAAAGTATGAAGTACGGACTATTATTTATGTTACTAAAAAAAACCGAAGGGGTAATAAAATGTAGTACCTCGGAGAAGCGGAGATTAAAAGGAGCTTAGAGAAAAGATCGGGACGCATAATGGAAGCAATGGCACCAACAATAGCAGAAACGGAATGACCAACAAAAATACAAGAAGATAACTTGAAATCCTCCAAAATAGCCAACAAATCATAAGCATAACCTTCCAAAGTAGAGTACCTCTCAAAATCAAAGTAATCAGGATTAGTAGTTCCAGCTCCCATATTATCATACAAAACAACCTTATAATCATCAACTAAATGAGGTACCAAATGTTTCCAAACTGATTGGTCTGTTCCAAACCCATGTCCTAATACTATTACGTTTGTACCAGAACCTACTACTTTTACATTATGAGCTTCTTCTACTATTCCCATTTTTTTTTTTTTTTTTTTTTGGGGATTAGTTTTTTAAGTAATACGTTTATGTTGGGCTAGTGTGAAAGAGGATTGTGTGTTTCTGAAGAGAAAAAGGAAGCTTTTAGAAGGTAGGTAACGAGTAGAATTTATAGCCACAGGAGACAAGGATATATTTTTTCTTTGTTTTGTTGATAGGTTTAAAGAGATTTTTTTTTTTTTTAGTACTCCATGTATTTATGGTAAGGAGAAGTATCGAACCAGACTTTAAACCTTGTGTTATTGTTTTAGGTCCATTATTACAGGCAAACACGTCACGCACTTGGGTGTATGAGAGAAAGTAAAGGAGATTTAAACCCTCATGCACCCTCATTTAATAAGTTTCATTTTCCATACATTAGGGATCTGACTCATCTGAGCTGAAAGTCTTACCAAAGTGAGTCAAACCTTACTTGATTGAGGATATATTGGATGCATGTTTTGGACACGGATTAGGATCAAGGTTCTGATTTTTGGATAGAAGAGATGAGAGTGAGTGTGACTGTGTTTAATTTGAGGAGTCAGAGTCAGAGGAGTCGATGTTTTGTGGATTAAATATTGGAGTGATAGGTGGAATTATGATAGTGATATAATTTCTGGAAGTATATATGATGACAAAATCACCAATTAGTCAAATTGATTGGGATTAAATCATCAATACTAGCTGTACCGTTAAACTGTATTGTTAATAAATGCATTCATTTCAGTTTATTTCATACTCCATAGTGGCATACTGGCATAGCCCATAGCAGTGTATAATTAAAAGAAAAAATGTTTAGAAAAAAGAAAAAAAAATGTTTAGACAATTGAGTTCTACTGTTATATACGAAGCATTGAGATAAGCTAAGAAGATTTTCTGAACTTCGGAGTAATTTGTTACAATGGATACCTTTTTATGACAAACACCATGTTCCAATATTCCATTTGGACCTTGAAAAATAATAAATGTGTAACTCTGTGCTTTGTACAAGTTATACCCTTGGCTCGTAAATTTAAACATGGGACATAGTTAATTCAAGGGCCTGCGGGAATTTTTACATTTGGTACATTATATGCAGTCAGAAATTCACTAAGGTCACCAAAGGCAGAAACTAGGGAAGTGACATTCCTGCACTGGAACAAGAACTTACATATTCTCTTGGGCCACTTCACCATTTAAGTGCTTAAAAAAGCCATCAAGGGCCCTGCTTTGATTCTAGTTCTTTTAGAGGAATTGATGCTCCGTACTTTTGGCAAAGACTAAACAGTTTTAGATTCAGGGAAAAGCTCTCCAAATTAAACATCTTTAGCACTCTTGACACCTAAATGAAACACAAGCGAAAATGATTAAGAAAAAGTATGCAATACTTGCATCTAAATAACCTGAATCTGTTTATGCACCACAAAAAATGACCAAACTAAGCTAGTTTGTGGCAGCTGCATAAAATATTTACAGAAAAATTCTGAAGCCTGGCCATAGTATTGAAGCCTGGACTGAAGACTGCAAGACTTAAAGCATCGAAAATTCGAAAGTATACCATAATACTGTGATAAGTCTTTAGTTCATACTAATATTATTCCATTGCCCATGTCTATGCAAAGGAACTACAGAGTACACAGGGATATAGCCTCTTTTATTTATTTTTTTTATAAAAAAAGATGCAACATGAATAGAATAGCATTAACAATTATTCGAGAAGTGAGAGAGACCCTAACACTGGTGGCATAATGGAAACCAGCAATATGAAAAGGTGATGAAGGGTTAAACACAGTCTTCACTCTTCAGCAACCTCCAGGAGGTTATATCTAAAGTTATATGGTTGAAGAAGGGAGACCTGAGTACAACCAATGATAATAAAGTAACTCTTACAGAATTAGTGCATGGGGCTGTGAAGAAGAACTGACACAAAATAAGGATACTAAAAGCAGAAGCAGGATGTAGTGGTGGTTTGTCAAAGCAGCAGTGAAGAAATTCGAAGATCAAACAGAAGAGCAGTGTAGCAAAATAATGAAATTTGTCACACAACACAGGCAAACAGAAATGTGCATAATTAATTCATCCAGGGCACATAGCATGTAGGACGATCAAAAAGGGAACTACGACGAACATTAAGCCCTTTATAGAGCAATAGCACTTAATGCCCTAAACTAACTTGGAAGTATCCTTGAGAGTGATAGGAAGAAGTTGGGTAGCTCCACTCTAAAGCTCATACACTAACTCTTAGAGTCTCATTTGCTGAAGCAAACTAAGAGAACTCGTCTCCTGGAATTGACAGCAAAAAGAACTAACACAGACAAACAGATAAAAATAAGAGCATGACAAAAGGAAAGGAGTGGCAGAAGCTTTAACCGATCCCAATTCTAACACCACCACCACTAATGATCGATTAGCCAACACAAGAAGACTTGATTTTTCCAACTTAGTTCGTTTTTTGAGCCTTACACATTGTCTCGAACAAGAAAGAAGACTGGTCATTTAGATAGGAGAGTTGGTCTAGCAATCTAGCCTGAGGTGATTCTTGTTACTTTCGAAGTAAATCATAACGGACAACAGTATGGACTTATGCATTCCATCTCATTTCAAAGCTACATAATTCCCATAATCCTCTCTCCTTCCTTTCTCTATCTGTTCCTAATGGTCAAATTTGGGTGAAATTCCAACAAGATATATCCTTGATAAACCATATAATATCCAAGGCCTAAATATGATATTAGAGCGTTAGGAGGTGATACAAAAAAATTTCTCTCGAAAAAGAGGAATTTAACTTTTGCAAGGGTAATCACCATTCAGCACAATGTAAGAATATCCCATCACCTTGGAATATCTATGGATAATTTGCAAAAAGGCTTTTAAGTTCATTTCACAACTATAGAAAAAGTAACAGAAATATTCAGTTAAAAAGTACGAACAAAAATTATTGTCGAGCAATCTCAAAACTCGAAATCCATTGTCGAAAAACTAGCGAGCAACTAAATTGAATTATATCAAAAGACATCAATTGTTCAAGAAATTCTTCAATTTGAAACAAATACTATCATATTATCATCAAATGGAATTTGAACAAGTGATTCACAGTTCTCGCATTTACCATATATCAAAGAAATATTCACATCAGACATTCAAATGTAAATTTTTTTATAGGAGAAATTTACTAATGAAATAATTAATTACCTGAATTCCTCCTGCACCGGGAACGAACAATTTTTATTTTTTCTCTCCATCTCGCATACCAGTTTTGCTATTTCAACTTTCAAGGGATTGAAGCCTAGTTTTAAAGATCAGACTTTAGAATGGATAAAGGCCCAATTTATTTCAGGGCTTTAGGCCCATGATATTCAAATGTATCGGATTGGGCCCATTCTTATATGGCTTGAAAATTTGACTCAAACTCTGTCCAATCTTGGGTACCTCTACTATGCATGCATCTGATTCTAAGGGTAAGTTTTCTTCATTAATTAATCTTTTGCGCATGTAAGGATTTAAAAGTGAGTAAAATATCGCTTCAAAAATTAAAAAGTATATATAATTAAATGAGAAAAAAAAAAAAAAACAAACAAACAAACAAAAACAAATTTGGTGCATAAAAAATTTTCATTCAACCCTGTAATAGCTTTAGCTTTGCCTAAATCCCCTAAGTACTACCTCCGATAATTTTTAGTTCCAATAAAGGGGTATTATTTATAATACATAAAAAAATTTCGCAACTAAAAATTAACATAAGTCGAAGAGCATGGATTTGTCAAGGATGTAACATTATGTGTGTGGATGACTAAACTTAGAATTAGGAGTAAGTTTAAAAGATAAAAGTGGAAGCAAAAGTTTTGCAAATGGTGTTTCTATTGTTGATTGTTTACTGATAGAAAACCTTGCTACAAAATAGCTAAGTTTAGGAAGTATTTTGTTACATATATAGTGTAATTAATTGCACTAATATCTACTTGTATTATTATATCAATGACCTCTCATGGCCTTATCATTCTCTAGGTTATTAAAAAACAAATGTACTTCATAAAACTTATTACCATTATCAATTTATAGTCAAGCAAACGTATCAAAATCTTTAAAAACGACATCAATATTAAAGTGAGAAAATATCCTTAAAGTTCCTTTCTTTAAACATCCTAGCTAAACTTATAGGTTTCTATCCAAAGAAACTTTAGGTGTAAAGAAGGAACCCTTATAAGATCCATAAATCAAATTTTATACTTAATAAGATCCAAAGAAGCTAACAACAGTACAAGTACTTTTTGCAACTGCTACCAGTAAGCAAGGCATCCTATGAAGATTTTATGTGGGTACTATAGACAACCACTCAACCAGTTATGAATTATGATGATTCTACAAAGCATTTTGTCACCTTTTATAAACATTTAAGGTACCATTTTAATGATTGAATCCGACCTCATTAGTCATTTTTTTTATAAAGTCAACTTCATTCTATGGTATTAATTCTCACAACTACATGAAATACTACTACAAAAAAAAAAAAAAAAAAAAAAAAAAAAAAAAATTGTTTTGATGGATTTTTTTAGCTTTTGTAATCCACGCCGTTGCAACATTTTATAATAATGTGACTTAGCTTTTTATACAGCATTTGCACCACTGTCCTATGTCACGAGAGACCATTTTCTATTCATAGACCTTAGAAAAGTAAGCATCATTCATAAATATTTTTAACTCTCTTCACACTTTAATCATGATACCACCACCACCATCTCTCTAAGGCCACTCTTTCAAATTATCCCTCCCATTAGCACGCCTTCTACTTTTTTTTTTTTTTTTTAGTATGTCACCCATTTATATACATATATATAATATAGTTTCTGCTCAAAAAATTTAAAATTTGATAATAGATTGAGGGAATTATATTGTACTATACATAATTGCTCAAGTATTATATACACTTAGTTTGCATTATTTGCTAATAATGTTAGCATGATAAAGAGATATCTAGTTTTAGACAATGCTTGTAATCATTTAAACAAATTGTACAACAAAAGCGGTCAATTAATTGTTCGTATATCAAGTTACAAAAGTCAATTTTGATGGTTTTTTTTTACTAGTCAAATTTGATGGGTTAAGTTAGTTTTAATTGGTGAATTTTAAATCAATGTAAAGACTTATTGAAATAAATATTAAATATCGTAATAATCAATACGAGTTATCAACTAATTTATTATCAAAAATAATTAGGGCTTTAATTATTAAACAATTATGATTTTGGTTCATGAAAATCAAATTTATTCGAACTCAGTTGTGTTCAATGAGTCAACGACCATTCTAAAATAGTGTTTTATATTGCGAGAAACCGTCTTAATTAGGTACAAAACTGACAAAAATGTAGACTTAATTGTAGTGCGTATGGACATGCCTAGGCGCCTAGTTTAGAAGAATGTATGGTAGCCAAAGAAAGTTAACTTTCGTGAATTTACAAACACCTTTTCCAAATTGCAACTAAGATTTGCAAATATACCTAGTTGTTTTATATAGACGTCATCATTCTCAGTTCCCACCTTAACATGAGCTCCTGATATGATTACTAATCACACATTTCAAATTAAAGACAAAATTATACAACCAAATAAAAGAAATTACTGTTATTAAAAAAGTTAAACTCCATTGTACATCGATCTCCTGGTTACAAAATAAAATATAAAAACATGGTAAAAGAATTAAATTTTTTAAAAAATAGCATGCGTAAATAAACCTCGTGGAAGAATCTAAATTTCTTGAATTAGAGTTTTCCTAAAATTTAAGAATTATTATTATTATTAAGGATGCTTGCATGGGAAAGATTCTTTAGCCATTCAAATGTACGATGTTCATGATGATGATGATGATGTGACATGACTTTCTTTCCTTGTCGGATTTGGTTGTTTCTTCTCTGTTGTTGCTGCTGTTGTTGACGTTGCTGTTGCTGTTGTTGTAGCAGCTGATGTTTCTTTTGTTCTGAATTCTTGTCTTCATTTAAAACTTGGCCTTTTCCAAACTTGTTACTTCCAAAATAACCACTCTTAACAACGGTATTATACTTTGGTGTGGTGGGAATTGGTTCTATTACCCCAATTGTGCATTTGCAACTCTTAAAAAATCCACCGTTATTGATTTCATGTAATTGATTCTTCCTCCTCTGCATCTCCGACACGAATTCGCAGGATTTACGAGGACGATCGTTGTTATTGTTGCCGGCTTTATTGCTACTGTTACTGCTACTGCTACCCGTACTGTTATTACGAGGAATTGTGAATGTCTTACCAAAATTGTTTGTACGGTGGTGACGTAGCTTGAGATCTTGTAGCTCAATCTCCGGGGTACGAACTAGTCCAAGCTTTAAGACGTCCCACATTTTCGATTTTTTTCCTACGGGTGAGGCCGTGTAGGCTGAAAAACGCGGACCCGTGCCTAAAATTTGAGGTTTTGGGCTCGGGTACGAGTGGAATTGATTTTGAACAACCTTATTAGACGATTTTGATACCAAAGGAACAGTTTTGGCACTGATTGCCGTGTTATTAGAACAACTACTACTACCACTACTACTAGTAGCAGAGTAATGACTTCTAATACTACTACTTCTACTACTACTGCACCTTGACCCAAATGTTCTACGGTCCATAGACTCGGACCTCGACACGCTCCGCAACCCGGACATCGAACTGATCGAGTTGCGGTAAGGCAGCATCAGGCCACCCGAGAACACCTCATCAGCTGCACACATTTCGCCTTCTAGTGCTGTACTTGACCCGACTACAGAACCGGTACCGAAATCGAAATCAAATTCCAAATCATCCTCTTCATTCTTGTTCTCCTCATCTTTTACTCCACCAGAATCATCTTGATTCCCAGTACTACAACAGATTGGAAGATCAGACAGCGATAACGCTTCTTCCGATTCTCTTTCCTCTTCATTACAATCATGATCTTCGCAATTCCGATTTTCAAAACATTGGTTTGATGACATGTTTTTAATTTCTACAAGAAACTTAAGAAATATACAAAGACTTCCTATAAAAATTAAGAAAAGTTAGAATAGAACAAACTTTTATAGGGGTGATAGAATATTGGAAGAAAATTTCAGTGTAACATTCTTTTTGTAGAAGAATGACGAAAATAATCAGAGGCAAATGTGCCGGCCACTAATAGAGCCAGGAATTTGAATGCGTATATATATTGGTATAACAGATTTGATTTGAAATTATTTGAAAGAAAATAAAGTTGGACACGTGTATAAAAGGTATGGGGGACAATTTTAGTGATTGTGGTTTACCAAGTAAAGACAATATTTTTTTTGGTTAGTAACGGATCAAGTATATGATGTTTTTGAGGGAGAAAAAAGATGACTTTAATGTTGTAATTTTGCTTACTAGTTGTATTGCATAGATTACCCTCCAAAGTCAAACCGAATCCCATGCATAAAATCTAAATCATCTAGCAAACTCGAATAACTATTATTGGATCGGAATATTGATCAGATTGTTTTAAGGGCCTTGCAAAACTAAACAACTTGATCATGCAACTTGCATATAAAATAGATTGTATAGCATTCAATAATATCTTTATTCCCCCTTTGTTTGTTTTTTCTCGCGGCTTTGCCTCTCGTGTGCACCAAAAAAAAAAAAATACTCCGTAATATTTTTATATCCACTTTTTTTTTCCCGAATGAATCACAAGGTCATTACAAATTAGTGGATGGGAAATTCAAATTTTTAGCTATTGTTGTATTCAAGCCATCGATCTTTGCCTTATTAGAGTTAGACTTTGTAATAATGAACATCTCCAAAATTACACCCTTAGCATAGATTAAAAGATCATACTACTACTGGTAGTTAGAATATTTCTATGTTAGACAATAAAAATACCCTAACCCCCAATAAAAAAAAGACGACATCAATTATTTAATTCATTATCGTTACATATAGCTATCAGAATCTAAGAGAATAATGTAGAAGCTAACTAATTTCAATAATATAAAAAAGGCAGATATAAGAGGACCAAATTGAACCTAAATTAATTAGGGTGACCAATAATAAAGATGTGATGCGATTGCACAAAATAAATAATAAGAAAAAAAAAACGTGACGTGAGAGATATGGTCCAGTGCATGCAACTACTAGTAATTTACTAAGCTGTATATGTGTGATATTTTGTTTTAAGTTTGTGGTTATTGGTTGATATTATGATACAAGCTAATAAGGCAGTAAGGCACAAGCTAAGCTTTCATGGACGGCTTGTGAGTAATGGCATGGGGTTCGCTTCGCCTTTTTCTTTTCTTGCTGCACGCCTTTGCCCCCGGGATAGGGAAAGGAATGTACCACTGTTCTTATGTCCTTTCTTCATCAACCTTTTTCTTTCTTATCTTTATTCGATCTTAGCTAGGGAAAATAAAAAATTACGAAGGACTTGTACTTGTATTCATCTCGGGGATTTGCACACAAGGTTGTACAACTTGTATATGATCTAATAAGATTACATGTACAATAGTTAAATTATTAGACATACTAATATGGATTTTAAAAAATAAACAAAATGAATTATATATGATCTTGAATTCTAATATGGATTGTAATATGGATTGTAATATGGATTGTAAAATGAATTAGACATACTAATATGGATTGTAATATGGATTTTACAATGAAAATTTTATACGGAGTATTATCTAATTTCAATTTTGTTCACAAATTAAACATAGGGTTCCTTTTCTCAAGGTGATCATTAAGGAATATGGGCATATGGCAAGTCTCTTGGGTATTGAACATGTACCTTTAAAATTAAGATAGAGATGAGTATAACACTATACATTGTATTACAATATATATCATTGCTCTTTTTTTTTTTTTTTTTTTTTTTTATAAATAAAAGATGATAAAGTTTTACTTTCATTGTAAGATTAGAAAGTCAGTTATATATCACAAATCATCTATCTTTCAGTACTAAAATTGGGGTTATATATATCACAAATCATCTATGTTTAGAGTTTATTCACCAAGTTTAGCTTGAAATTGGGTCTAGACAGTGAGACTAGACTCTACAGTGTGAATTTTCAATGTGCAAGCGGCAAGTTTATGGAAGAATAACGTAATCAAATGTTGGATCAGGCCTAAACAAAAGGCTAGATTTTTCGGCCCGTAAATATAAATTGTATTGCTTGGGCCATAAAATGGGATGGACATACACTAAAATACACTTCAAGTGTTCAATTTTCAATTTATTTATTTTTTTTTTTTTTTTTGTGGGGGGTCGGGGGGCTTCAAGTCTTCAAATGATCGCATAACATAGATAAGTAGATAAATATATCTGCAACAAATACCTAATTAAAAGCGCGTTTATATAAAACTCAATAAATATTCATTAGAAAATACAAGAAGCGCAACTGAACAAAACGTGTACATATGCATTATCTTTTTAATTAAGACGCAATTAAATTAACATAAAACCAAAACCAATTTGGCATTATTCATGGAACACCTTGTTGGTTAATAACATCCGTGGCTGAGCCAGCGGGTGCACCACCCGAAGGGGTGGGTGCATCGGTCCCTCCAGCGCCACGGCCGGGCGTTACATCCTTGTGGCCCTCGGTACCATAGCCTTGTTGCTTGTAGTCTTCCAAGTCTGTGTATTGCACATAAGGACTAGTCTCAGTTGGCAAACCCTCTAACTTCGTTGCTTCCTCTGATTGTTTCTTGTCTTCAGTTTTTGGGGTGCTGCTGTCTTTCTCCATCTCTAAACTTTTTTACACTTACTAATTAATTACTTCTTTGGTGTACGTAGTAGGTTCTTTTACTTTTTGTATTGTTATTTTTAGGGGATCAGATTTTATAGTTTTCTTGATATACCTCAATTTATGTAGTACTGCCACCACCTTTATGTTATGTAAATACGTGTCAAGTTTTAACATAAAGGTTTCAGTGCATTTTGCATGGTTTTGATCTGGTGCTTCCAGCAATTGTTTCGATTTTCAGGACTACTGTATATCTCTATTTCCCGTGTTTCAAGACCATGGCTCCTCTAGACACGTATAGATAAGGAATTTTATGAGTACTGATTTAGTAAATTCTTCAACGTATATTCAATAATCTGGTGATGTGTGCGTAAATTAAAATATCTACAATTCTACATACAATATTCCACATGTTTTAGGATGGGCTAAATGGCCTAAATCAAATACAAAGTCTAAATTCAACTTAGTACACATTTACAGAGTATTTAGGAACTAAGACAGTAGAATGAACTAACTAATCTGAGTTATAGAGGTTTATTTTAAAATTTTGGATAATTTAAAATGTTGGATTATAAAAAGAAATACTACGCGGATAAATACTATGGACATAATTTACGTTTTTTCATAGTCCTTACAGAGTTACAGTAATAATAGCTCGGATTGTAAATTTGGTGATAATTGCGTAAATTCGGGAGAAAAGCTCTAATCAATCCTTCACTCTCAATCTCTCACCATCGATCCGTCATGGGACTGAAGAAAGATGACAAATTGACAATGATAGATGAGAGGGCTGGTCAGTTGACATAGGGCCTTTTGGACCTTCACTAAAGCTCAAAATGTGCGGCCCTGAAGTCTTAATAGAATTGATTGCCTAATTGGTCTGATATGGTACCTTTTTTTTTTCCTCTTTTTGAGCTGGAAAACAATACATTATGTATCATTACTACGGAGTATTTCCACTATTTCGTATACAGTACAAGTTTACAAACAATAGCTTTCATATCAGTGATATTGATACCAAGCAAACAAGTTCGACCCCACCAACTACATTTGCTTGGAAGTACGAGGATTCCTTTTACCTCCTCCTTCTACTCTCAACACTCAAGTACTCAATTAATCAATCAAAGTCTTAATCCTATAAGTGGGGTCGGTTAACATGAACCAAATTTGATTATTCCGTGTAGTCATAAACATAAATCTTTCTCCTCCATCCCTTACGATCCAATGCTTCATCCTCATGTAAATGTATACACTTCATATCGTTCCTAACTCCTTCCAACCAAGTCATTTCGGTCTCCCTCTCCCTCGTTTAACCCCTCCATGGTCCCACTCTTCCACACTTTGCACCGGTGCACCCTCTAGTCTCCGTCTTACATGCCCAAACCAACGCAGGCGATTTTTACTTAATTTATTTGCAATGCCTACCACACCCACTTTCTTGCGAATAACCTCATTTCTGATTCCATCTCTTATAGTGTTCCCACACATCCACCTTAACATGCGCATTTCCGTGACTTCCATCTTTTTAATGTGCTCCTTCTTAGAAATCCAACATTCTGTACCATAAAGTAACACTGATTATGGCGGTCCTGTAGAATTTTCCCTTCAATTTTCAAGTACTAATTAACATTTAAAGTGGTTTTTTATAGGTTAAAAAAAAAAGTGCAAAAAGAGAATTTAAGTGAATATGCCAAACTGGTGCAGTGTAAAGACACAAAAATATTGGAGACTGTCAATTATACTTGGTAGGATTATAATGATTGAGCGATAAGGATAGTGTGGGATGCAGGATTCAACTACCACTGCATAACCCCAAGTACACAAATGCATTATCAAAAAAGGCCAAAGTTGCCACCCTGTAAATATGAACTCGTGATTAATAATTTCTCTTTGGATAAAAATCATTGAACAATTGAACATTGGATTGAAATACATGATTATTTTGTTTTGTTCTTATCTTGAAGAACAGTACATGATTTTTTTTTTCCTCCACTCTTCAGTGGCACAACAATTCAAATATTTTTTTTTCCAAAGTAAAATAATAGACTAATGGGGGAGCCTTATCTCAGGGCTTTGGTTGGTCTCTAACCCTGGACTCATACCCGAATTTCGAAGGCAGCAACACCTGAATGTTCAATTCCATGGTAATGCGATGCTACTTGTTGCACATATTCCTGAGAACCAAACATTATAAATCTCTACGTACTATACTCGAATATAGTGAGCATTGACTTAACCCGAAATCACCAAGGCCAACTGCATTTTCCTTTCGTCATAAGAAGCTTTATCACGACCAGCTAAATGCAATTGGGCTAGCAACTACATGCTTACCATCCGCCCAATCAATCCTAGCAAATCTCATTGTATCTGAAGGCATTGGTCCGGTGGAGAAAGTAACAGTGTATGATTTTTTATCATTCATCTTACTGAAGCTTAGAATTTCTGGCTCCACTGATATCTTAACCTCTGGTGCCTGTGAAGTAACGGTAACCTGATATGAGCCGGGAGGGCCAACATTGGTCAAGGTTCGTGTGTGCTTCACCACGGTGGGTCCACTGCTTGGACTTCCGGCTGCATCAGTTGTTGGGCCTGTTTTAAATGAAACTGCAAACGAAGGGTAATTGAAATCTGATATACGGTAATCCTTGGCACTGTCACAACTGAAATTTCTCCTAGCAACTAAGTTTATTTGTGATGGGGTGTACTTCAGTGCACAAAGAAAACCCAAGTAATCGTCGACTGTGAGATCATACACGAGACCAGGATTCAGGGCAGATACAGGATCGACGTGTCCAGCCCCATGATCCAGTGGTGTGGACGGCTTCCCAGTAGCAACATCCTGCAGTATCTGCCCGTTTTTGTAGGTCACATAAGCTGTAGTCATCAAAGCAGATTTAATGGCTGCAGGGCTCCAATCAGGGTGCACTCCCTTCAAAAACCCTGCAAGGCCGCTTACGTGAGGACATGACATCGATGTCCCTGAGATGATGTTAAACTCAACTCGTCTCGAGTCAGAAGCCTCTCCAGTGGGCCCCACAGCCCCTGTCCACCCGGCTAAGATATTGACACCTGGTGCGATCATATCAGGCTTCAAAATCTCGGGGGTGATCCCATTAGGACCCCGAGAACTAAAGGCGGCCACCACAGGAGACGGTTGTACCCCAACTTTTGTTCCCTCGAAAAGGATGGTGGCAGTCGCATTCAAGTCTGAGATCACATAGTCCCTTATTGCATCTCCATTCTTCTGGCCCACCGTTGTGGCTGGCAATAAATGTGCATCAGCAACTAACTCCTCCCCATTTGCCTCGGTATTCGCCAATATCATACCAATACCACCGGCAGCTTTGACCACCGCACCCTTCTGTACCCTCGCATTCACCCCACGGTCACACAAGACAATCTTATCTTTCACCTTCTCCGGAATTAATGATCCAGTCATACATAAACTGCCGCTTTTGCTCGCATTTCCTGCAAGAGTATCAGAGTTCACATTGTGCCCATCAGCTACAATATTGTAATTATTATTGCAACGTCATGAATAACAATATGAATTGGCATAAATATCTTAGCCGCAAATTGCAGGGCTGTCATTCTTTGTATTATTAATGTGCAGACGCAATGAACATCCAGAGTATCACATTGTTCTAGTTAGCATACATTTGTTGACTATACTGACAGGATTAACCAAGTAAATTTGAAAGCAGATTGATTCTAAGAATCATGATATTCAAAATACTTGTGATGTGGTCCTTGTGGGTCTGATAAATTAGTTACTTTGTCTAATTTCAAACTAGTAATGTGAGAACGGAATCCGGACAAAGGCAGTATGCAGTATGCTTATATGCTATAGGAAAACGAAGATCATAGAGCGCTATTCAGTAGCTAAACCTCCCTTCCAGAGTCCTAGATGTTCCCAAAACTGGCCTACTCCGTATTGTTGTGTAGCACCTTACACCTCGTAATCCATTCGTAGAGCATATAAAATAAGATAATGAATAAAAAAATCTTGATCACAGGATTCTGTATTGTTAACAGTAATGCAGTTTACCTACTTTTCTTTGAATTTAGTTGCAGCTTCTTGCTTCTAACCAATATTGTACTACTTGTACAGTTGTACTCCATAGTAAATTTTGTGAATCCCAAAACTGAAATCTATTCAATTACTTAACCACTAGTGTGTTGAAATAAAGACTTGTAAATAAATTTTCTTGTCAAATACTTGACATTTACCCTCAAAACTAATGGTAGATTGCATGTCACCTAAATTTCTGGTCTATATTGTGCCATGGTAAAATATTGCCGCAATCATGGAATATGTATAATATATCTATCAAATTCAAGTTAGTTGAGAACAATTGTCTTAAGTAGTAACCCAAAAGTAATCAGCTCTATAAATAAGGAGAGGTTGAGCAATTTAGGGAAAATCAAAATAATAATCTTTAGCATCACTACTTAAATGGTCATCATGCCAATGTAGTGAAATCAAGTACTAAAACAGATTTATTACAAGCTAGCATGGACGCTTCAATGAAGAGGCATGTTTGATCAACATTCGACACATAAACACATAGACATACCACAAGTCCACGTACCTCACACACATCTCAAACCTGTGTCAATTACTTATATCTTTTAGCATTAAATTGTTTTGAAATAAGTATAAATCTTATATCGTAGACAGTACTCCATATATAGTAATTAAGTTCCGTGTTCATATCTTGCCTTTACCAAAATCATGTATTCAACTATTCATACTTAACTGTATTTTTCAGATCACCAGCCAAATCCACATTATACAACTCTTGTCTACTTCATATTAGTTCTCATGTAACCTAGCTAAGTCATGTGCAATCATTAACCAAAATCTGTCCTCAGGATAAATATATGGAGTAAGCTACATTTTGAACATAAGTACCAAGTATTTAATAAATTATGGTGGTTAGCAAAATAATTTACCTGCATAGATAATTGGAACCATGCTTTTAGGCAAGGATGCACCACGGAAGAGCGAAACTCCAAAGTATTTCTTCCCATTACTAAGGCTAGCAACAGCCGGGAAGTCCCTATCCAATGTACCAGCCCCCACAGTAGTAATCCACGGTGCTATATTCGACAAGCTAAAGGCAGTAGGCCCTGCATTCCCTGCCGAGCACGACACCAAAATCCCCCGTTGCATCGCTGCAAACGCACCAATGGCCACACTATCTTTATAGTAATCCGACATACCCCCGCCCAATGAAAGGGATAGCACATTGACATTATCCTCAATCGCCTTATCAATTGCCTTTAAAATATCTGAACTGAAACATCCTCCT